TTATTAAGAATTTGAAAATAGGGTAATCGATGGAGGTGAAAACATTTGTATATCCTGCCAAAGGAGGTCCGATCATGAATGGTTCTCTTATTGATTCCAAATTGTTAAATGTTTCCCCCGCAAGTCTTTTTTTTTCTCGGAAATTCGAGTTTTACGCTGGCTTCTTAACGTACGCAGGTCTCATTCATAGACAAGGAATTGGGTAGTTATTATTTATTATATTATCAAAGAATTATTAAACTGTGTAAAATTGCTAAAAGAGATACTGAGTGCTCTACGAAAATTTATTTTCTAGAAGATTTGAAAAGTTTGAAACTTGATGGATAAATGTAAATATAAAATTATGTATGTTAAAATATTTGTAATTAGGCACATAGGTCAGATTAAGTTTTTATTAAATAGAGTAACGCATGCAAGGGCTATCTGCCTAACGAGAGAGATGCCATCGTGGAAGAATTTTGAAGAAAAACTGACCTTTGAGTGGGTATTAAAAATAATGCATATAATTTTCATTCAAATTATATTCATATATATTTTTTATGTAAAACTTTCGGGTGTATGCTAAATTAGTGTAAATTACTTTACACGACAAATATAGTGAATGCACAGAAATTAAAGATTTTCACATGCCGGAAATGAAAAAATGGAAATATGTATGGGTATGCATGTGCTTGCAAAAAGCATGTATCCGCTTTTGACAAAATACATAAATATTCATTAAATTATTTATAAATGTATTTGAAATGAAGAATTTATTTACTTATAAACAACTGTGAAAGTACTGTGAAGAAATCTAATTATTAAATGTATCTAATTTACAAAGATTATAAATGTTATCTAAATATATAATAACCTTAATATTGAATTGTAAACATAAATTGAAATCCTGTTGACAAATACGTTACAAAACTATTTAAGCAAGAATTGTTCGCATTGGAAAGAAATCTGTTAAAAGGTATTGTAAAGCAAATGCTATGAGATGCGCACTTAAGAACGTAATAAAGAGTTTTGGAATATGTATTGTTGAAATGAAGGGTAAAATAAAATCTGATAAGTATAATTAAAAGAATTATTCCCCTTACATTTTATAATAACTCAGTTACAAGTTTTTAAATAATACTAAAAAAAAAAAAAAAAAAAAAAAAAAAAAAAAAAAAAACTCATTTTATTCCCTTTCAGAAATGTTCAGAGAAAGTCAAGTACTATTTAAAGTATTTCGCTAATTGCTAATAATTCTCTAATTTAAAATGAACCGAATAGAGCATTAATTATAAATTGGCTTACATTTTAACTTGTTTAGGGCTACTCCATCTTACTTCCTACCTCCATGCCACGATGAGGCAATTTACAGGACTAGAGGGGGTAATGAAGATGCAGACACCCTGGTAAAGAAGGGTGCCCAGGAGTCTCTGTCTACTTCTTTAACTGTCTGACTTACCTTGAGCTGTATTCTGCCCATGGTGGCCCATTGGGGGATCTCCATGATTCTGCCAGAAAACTTACTGATAAAATGACTTCGCTTGTCCCTCCGGCACACTCTTGGTACCGGGTTGAATCCCCTGGTAGTTCTCTCGCTATGATCTGTGGCAGATGCACCCAGACAGCACTCTCCCTCTTTATTAGTGGCCATTTAAAAAGCTTTGCCTTCCACAGAGGTAAGAAAACACACTTGATTTGCCCGAAATGTAACAATAAGCAGGCTTCTCCTGCACATATTCTTAGGTGTCTGGGTTTGTCCTACGACGACTGGTTAAGTTTCCTATGTTAGTCTATAACTTTTTGAAGTTGAATAAACTCGTGGATCTCGTCTACCAGAAGCTGGACTTAAAGGTTAACAACAACAATCTTTTCTCAGTTCATCATATCAATATCCAGTTTTCTTACTAAGATGGCTTTTGCAAAACATTTTTTGTCTTTTTATTATTAACGTTTTATGGGTTTACTTTACTTATTAAATACTACGTTCTTGGCGATTGTGCCACATAATTCAACAGAAAACTCACAAAATATTTAAAAACAGCATATCTTTAGAATTTCCGATAAACAGTCTCTTGCCCTGGAGATAAAAAAAGTTATTTTTTTTTTTTTTTTTCAGCACTATGTTGCCACGGTTCGCTTTGAAATCTTTGAATAATCAAAAATTCGTGAAAGTTTTCAAAATATGAAATCGATGATAAAACGAATTCGAAATTCAAAATTCGAGCTTCCACGTGCCCATGTTTGGGTGGAAGATTATGTTATTCAGAATTTGATGGCTCTAGGTACCGTTGTTTTCTGACAAAATACATTCGTGCAGATTCTTCATGATTTAATTTAACTATAACACAAGGCAATAATTATTGGTAGCAAATATTTGAAATGTGATAGGCCGTTTATAGTGATTCAACGCGAATGCCGTTTCGAGGCTAATATTCCATTTGTAACTAGCATCCCTTTCGGGCTAATAATAATAATAATTTGTGGTAGTACCAGAGTTGCTCTCAGTCTCATACCTGACTTTTTTCTTCCTATCACCTTTGTATCAGTATCATTTTTCAAATGTTGTCACCAAATGTAGTAGCTACGTATTACTTTTAAAGAAATAATATAGCAATTATAAAAGAAATATTGCAAGACATTGGCTAACAAGATGGACAAGAAGATAACATTCGGCGGAAATAGGCCAAATGTTATCAATATTCGCTATAGAAAAAGTATATATGTCTATATATATGTACCAACACAAATAAAACGATTTTGTGTACACGTTATCTCCGTGTACTATTATTTTGAAAGAAATAATGTAGCAAATATTAAAAAGTGCATGATAACATTTAAAATTTTATTGAGAATTCTAAATTCTAATTTCTAATTTTATGCGTCAGTTTCTTGCCATTCGGTGAAGCGTAAAATATTTAATTTTTCTTTCAAATTTAATCTGCTCGTTACTGATTTAAAAAACGAGCAATTTAAAAGCAATAAAAGCAGTTCTTTAGCTCTCTTTTGTAATCAGCTAGACAGGTGAAATGTAATACATTTAGCTGGATTTATTATAAGAGTTAACGCCCAAAAGAAGTGAAGCTAATATGTAATTTTTGAGTATTGTTTAACTTGAGGAATCTGGCAACTTCAAGTAGAGGTAAAAAATTAAGCTGGCTGCGTTTTTTTTTTTTTTTTTTTTTTTTGTTTGTTTGTTTGTGTGTGTGTGTTCTTGTTGTGTTATTAAAAAGAAGTTTGTGCTGATTATATAACATGTATTTTAAGGTATAGATGGCAAGAGTGTATATTCGAGTATATGTAAAAATGTTGTGTATTTAAATTTTGTTAAGAAAAGCAACATTAAAAATAATACAGTCCGCTACATTTGTGTATGAATTTCATGACTTTTATTTTCAAGTGTGATTAAGGACAATGATTGAACAATAAGCAGTTCTCTCTTTCATAATGATATTTTTAGGCGACTGCTTGGGCCAGCAGCTAGTTATTTGAAAAATGAACCAGACAACGAAAGCAGTTCGATGCAAAATTAAAGAAGCACTTCTGAGCTAAAAGATTTATGGCAACTCTTAACGCTGCACCAGGAATTCTAAAGATATGCAGTTTTTAAAAATTTTTAAATTTTGCTGTTGAATTATTTTAGTATATCGCGTAAATGTGAATAAAGCAATATTTAATAATTAACTTAAAAAGACAAAAACTTTATCATCTGCAGTGAGTTCAAGAAAAGATGGATAAACTGAGAGTTTAATGACAGCTTAAATAACCTCAACAATTTTTATAGTGAGACGTTAAAATCTGAATCCTTTCGAATTTTGTTTTGTTTTCTTTCTCTTTTTCTATTGATTTTAATTATTTTTTTTTTATTATTTATCGTTGTTGCTTTAACAGACACGCAAAATCTGAAACTCTTTCTAAGTCGCTAATCTGTCTGTTTATAGCTCGCAACGATTAATCTTCATCGATCTGCAAACATTTTAACCTGCGGCTGAGATATTTTATATACTCTCATATCCCCCCAAAAATAACCAAAACCAAAATCGTCCCTATAATAACCAAAATCGAAATACTCTATTCATACTCTATTATAAAACTATTCTGCTTAGAAATATTGAAATCTGCTTATCTATTTGGAATATTTTGAATTCACACTCAGTAACAAAGCGATGCTTATAGCAAATCTTAGAACAAGATTCGGAAGAGCACCTAAAATCTGTTGTGATCCAAAGAGATTCAACAGTCACCTTTGCTTTCACATGAATAAAAATGTCATGAAGAAAGGGATGAAGTTTACTGCCGCAGCACATCAACAAATGTGTAAGGTGAATAGGAGGATTTTCTTTTTGAAGAAACTATTCTTCTTATAATAGAAAACACTTCAGAAGGCGACATCAGAAAGTATCAATTTGAACTTGCCCAACTTTTCGTACGCTTTGACAACCCATTATTCTTGATTAGATCTATTGCGAATTCTCTTCTCAATAGTTCGCACATTTTTGTATTTCGCATTTTGTAATTGTTTGATGGGTAAACCGTTTTCCTTTTTTATTGTCCCTAATTTGTCTTTTAGCGTTCTTGAGAGTTCGCAGAGTTCAAGGAAAGTTTCTTCACTTCGTGGACTGAATTTTAAAAATGGAGTCCTCAAGATTATATTGTTTCAATTGTGAAGAAACATTTTGCTACCAACTATCTTCTTAAACAGCTGTTATCGGCTGTAAATATTAAATTTCTCTCGCTAATCAACTATTAACTAATCTAATTAATTATGATTAATAAAATCTTGGATGTATTTTAGTAAAGTTAAAGAAGCTAAGATTACAGCAATGCCAACTGATAAGATGCAAAGAATAGATGTTTAATAAAGTTTTATTTATTTGATTACGGCAAAGCACGCGAGGTCTATCTGCCTAAGATGATGGATGCCTTTGTGGAAAACGTTCTAAGAGAAATTGGCTAGCATACACGTTTCACATCGGCGATGCCACCCAAAAGTATATGCAGCCAGCCCGATCGCCGGAGCTCACCAGTTTGCCGCTCGGCTGCTGGTGGGCCCATTGTTGAATCAGGAATACAATTATTCATTCTCCAACCTGTTAAAATAAAATTTACTAATATTTGAATCCATACTTTTATAAAAGTTAGCAAAAACTCTCGTAACTTTAAAACTCGTGATAAGTAAATTTATTTAATTAATTTTAATGCAGTATAGGAGGAGTCAGGAAAAATATATCTATTGAGCGCAATTTTAGCCTGAAACAATAAAAATGTCATTTGTTTAATGCGTTTTTGTCCACAAGATCTTTAATTTAACTAATACAGCTTCATGAAAATTTTATACTAAACAGCAAAAAAGGACGACGAAATAAAATAAGATAAAAGATTTAAAATTGACTGCATGCAAATGATACTCCAAGCAAATTTCAGGCTGTTATGAAAACTGAATCTCCATTTGGCTTTTTTCGAATCGGCCTATGTTTCTATGCTTCACAAGGGGACTTTGTACTGTAAACAAGGTTTAGGATCCATACCTTGTGGCAGTAAATCTCAGTTTTCTGAAAAGAGGATTTTCATGCATGGAGACTTCTGGGAGATTAATGACGTTGTGAAATGGCTTCGTTTATGAATGCTGAACATGATTTGAGTCGGGCGAATTCGCTGACCATACTGCACCACAAATACTCCTTTCATCCGAAAATTGTCATTAGATGAGCTCTGTATAATACACAAGGTGAGTACTTTTTTTTTTTTTTTTTTTTTTTGTAAACATACGTTTTCGGCTTTGACAGCTATCTTGAAAATCGGCAAAAATATCAAGGGACACACTATTGTGAACTTTTACAGCAAAAAGAAAGGATTATGGCGTCACTTACCTCTTAGCACTGATTTGGAATATAAATACGAGAAGCATTTTTCTGCGATTAATATCAAGACAGCTTTAAATGCTTCAGAAGTTGGTTATCCCCTATAGAATTTAACACAACTCAACATACTTGAATAAATTCATTGCATTACTATCTGGCACGTGGGGAAGAATCAGATGCTTTCATAACATGAACATAAAGTTAAGCATACTGCTTAAGTGTAGGAGGAGAGAACGAAAACAGCATATTAATAGCTGTACTAGTATTTCTCAATTATGTACACCGAACGGTGGAAGCTAAAAAAATACAGAAAACGCAGACCTTTATGCTCCATGCTATCAGAATACTTAGGTAAATGAAAAACTGATACAATGCACATGACATATATATTTAAAATGTGACAAAAATTAAATACCCTATCCAAGACATTCTGCAGTTTAGATCTAATTTCTTAAAATACTGTAACTAAACGGAAAAGAATTAATTATACTTTGAACTGAAGCTTTAAAAATTCACAACAGTCATATATATATGAAATTTCAAAAGTTATAATGAATTATTTAGTTTTACAAACCAATTATTTTATGTTAATTAGCTTTACTATCTTTCTCGCTTTCCGTTTCTTGTGAGAATGCTAATTTCTACTTCGTGAGTATTCATATGAGGTAAAAAGAGATAGTATTTAAAGGAAGTTTTGAGTCTGCAAAATTAGAGCCTGTCCCTCCTGCTGAAGTCTACGTTATTAGTTGAATCTCTTGAAAGCACATTCTCTGCGGCATTCCGTTATTCTCGCCATTACGTTATTCATGGCGACATCAAATCCGAGCTAACTTGCTTATTTCACAATTCAAAATCTTTATGGACGCATAACACGAAAATTTATAAAAACGTTTTTAATGATGTTATTAATCGAAGGGAAAAATAATATTTACTTTTATATGAAAAGAAGAATTCAAACGAATATCTCTATATCTCCCGTTCTACTGGCTCGACTGACGAAATTTAAGGTGTGGCTTTCATGTCCCGATAGCTTGACAATTAGGATGTATATTAGATTTATATATAGCATTGTTCTAACATACGTATTTTGACACAAAATCGGCCATTTCTGAAATTAAATACCGATATTTTCCATGTTTCAATTTTACGACTCAAATTATGTCAAGGTACCAAGGTTTGTAAAAATCGCAAGAGTATAGTTTTGAAAAAAATTAGCTCTCAAAACTTTATCTCCTCAATGTTAATCGAGTTTCACATATATATTTATATTATATATTTATTAATGTCTCTTTTTTACATATATATTTATTAATATCTCTTTTTTTTATTAAACTTCAAAACAGTTAGAAATTTAGGTTCAATCCAATTAACATTCGCAGGCACTTTCTGATTTACTTTCAAAATTTGTAGTTTTTAGTATTTTTTATGCATTTTCGCGAAGGTTTTTGAATTATAACCTATAAATAGTTTACCATCATCGTAAACTGGATGTACTGCTAAACGGATACCTGCCAAAAGTTGGAATTTTTTATTCAAAATTTCTTGGGATGTATGTGAATTTATATATTGGCGCGTTTTAAAATTGTGTGTCTTTATTTATAGCAATAATAATGCCAAATGTGGTTTACGGGTCTGGAAATAGCAACTATATTTAAAAAATGTAATAATAAAAGAAAAATATTTGAAATAATTTACCTTTTTTCCGTTATTGCACAATGAAAGGGAAAGCTAAATAGGTTACCATGAATGCAGAATATCAAGTGAATAATTCTTGCCGCAAATTGAAAAAAATCTGATGTGTACGCCACATGACTTCCTTGTACGGAATATTAAATTATATGCATTTTTCTTGCATTTCATTTAAACTTATTGGATGTAATTAAATCAACTTGGCCGACATAGAAAAAATGCATTCTTTAAAATTCACTCTAGTATTTGTTTACCATAGCGACACTCTGGCGCTAGATTCTTAACAGTTATATTTCGTTCATATTATAACTCATATGCAAAACTTATATCATTTAAAGAATAAATATTTAATCGTTGCCACCATGTTCTATTCAAATACTAAAAAGAAGAAAAAATTAAAAAAAATTTTTCACACAATTGAGTATTTCTCATTCAATTAATTCAGTTCTCACTTCGCGAGAAGGCAAAAATACATAAAAACTCAAAATATCTATGTTAAAAATTACGAAGTAAATCTTAAACACTTATTTTTCCTCGAAAAAATTCCAGAAAGGATAAGGCATGATTTAATTGGCAAAAATAAATGAAGGCGTTATCTTTGTTGTTGCGAAGCTAAGTTTCTCTAGATTGGCAACAAATCCACTAAGTCTGCCGTTTCAAATGTAAACAATCAATCGCCGCCATAAAAACAAAAGTCTAAAAAAAAGGCACTTAAACAACTTAAAAATTGTTGATAATTCCAAAAATATTGCATATTTAAAGGCATAAAAACCTTAACGGAAGATAAAAACATAATTCAATCATTTTTAAAGCAAAGAATGTCAATTTACAAACATTCGAGTAAAGAGACGAGACACTGAGCCGGGTAACAGAGTGGATATATAGTTTATATACTTTTGGTGCGGCCGATTGCAACCAAATAAGAGTGAATATCTACATGTTATAGCATCCTATACAAAATTTCAATGTTCTGAGGCTACTCGTTTTTGAGTTATGCGAGATACGGACGACGTACGTACATAAGTTCGTACAGGACGCCAAAAAATTCTCTTCAGAATTTATTTAAAAAGTTTTATTTTTTTTGGAGGAAACGAGTCTTTATTCTGTCTACGTACAGATATGACGTAAAAATATTGTTAAATTGCATTCGATAGCGGTGAAAATGGATATTTTTGTTGAAATATGCTGCCTGAAACTTTTCGCGATTACAATACTTCCTTTTTACTTCGTACAAGGAAGTGAAAAGGGTGTCAAGATAAATTTTTGAATTTCCCTGTAAGTTTTTCGGCAAATTTTACAAAAGTTAATGTTTAGGCACAATTTGAGTAGAAAAATCAATTTGGAGAAAGATTTATATGTCATTTCAGAAAAAGTTGAATTTTGTGTAAAAATACTTATGTCTTAACAATGCTATATATATAAAACTAATACATAGCCTAAATAGCGTTTTCCAGACTTGAAAAACTAAAGTTAAATTTCGTCAATCGGCCTAGTAGAACGGGAAATTTAAAACTGCCCGCTTTTTTATGTGTGTGTGTGTAAAGAGTATACTTACTGTTCTTAATGTTGTTGTACAGTTATAAATTCTCACCTTTCACCTTTATGGAAAGCATATATTAAATCCAGATTCTTTATGGATCCAAGTGACTTATCACTTTCCCCAGTAAGAAAGCATAGAAAGTAAAAAGGGTATAAACGATCCTTTCAATAAGACTTCAGTACATTAACAGAGGCACATCTTGCGCTTTACAAAACCAGTCGTCATTTACGGTGTAACTCAAAAGTAATAAATTTCAAATTAAATTTTAATTAATATTAGGCAAGCTAAAAGCTTTGCAGCAGTGATTAACGCACAGATTGGCTCGAACCCATACCGGCGCGATGAGCATTATTGGAAAAATTTAAAAAATTAAAAAAAATAAAAAGCCAGAAAGAGACTGCTGTCTTGGAATATCAACTAACATCGTGGTCTTTAGCAGGGAGAACACACTCTGAAGAAATAATTTAAAACCTTCCTTTAAATACTATCTTTTCTACCTCATTTGAATATGCGAGTATTCTGGCAGAAAAATAGAAAGGAAGAATGGCAGAAAAGCTACTTAACATAAAATAACTGGTTAGATAAAATAAATGAATACTTTACAAAGTGAAATCTGTGAAAGAATAGAAAGATTCATCGACTCAAAATTCAACTGCATTATCTTTAAATGCATTTGTAGAAACAATAAATAAATCAACAATAACAATAAATTATGTCTTAAAATGTTACAAAATATACTAATGGGTCATGAGATTTCGCCGGAAAATGCGGTTGAAAGCAGAAAATATTCTAGAGCTGTGTATGAACATGAATTAGCAGAAAACGAATAGAAATGTATAATGATTCTTGATGAAGCAGGAGTTTAGATTTTATCTACTATGGCCAAAAAAAGTCTGTTTAATACTTAAAAAGAGTAGAAAAAATGGCAAGCCTGGGCCGACAATGCAAAGGAAATAGCAATAAAATATTTCATTGTTGCTGGTTTCTCCTTATAATGGAAAGTTAAAAGTAAGAAAAGTGAGGAAAAGTATTGAAATCAATATATCATACTATAAGAAAAATGTTTTACGTAGGATATTTGCTCAATAATATTTCCGTGTCTCAAAGTTTCAAACGTAAACCTGCAATGCGTGAATTGCTACAAGAGAAAGGCCTCCAGATATGTTTTAAGAGCTATTCTACATTATGCAGGAAATATAGTGAAACCTACTACACGTATTGAATGTAATCCTTTTCCATGTATTCCTGTTTAAGCTCATTGGCAATTCTAGCTATAGATTTTATATATTTGACCTGCCAAAAAGAAGCTCTTTTTGAGCGCAAATCTGCCAGAGCTGACAAGCTCTGCAAAGTAGTTAAAGCTTAATGTAAACAAATACTGCTCGAAATTTTACTAAATGTTCTTCAATGTTACAATACACGATGCAGATTTATAGTCCTGAGCAAAGGTCGTACCATTCAGAATACAGAATATTTAGTGTTTGCTTTTTGAATGTTAAATAAATGGACCTGAAGTCGTATAAAATATGTTAAAACCTTGTATATCTGCATGTATTTATTTCAGGTTTTTAATAGACGTCTTCGTTGCAATAAAGAAAATGCATATTTCCTGTCATACGTATAAAGTTTATTGTGTAGGGTATAAAATTTAATATTTTCACAACCGAACCTTGCCAAATATATGAGCAAAGCTTTACTAAAAACAAAGACTTACATAGTTGCGGTTTGATCGTTAACTGCAAATATGAATAAGATATTTATTGTACTTTATGAGATAGGAATATATTTCTGATCAGTTAGATATGTTGTGAAAAAGAAAGGTTCAGGTTTACTCTTAAGTTTTAGAGCAATAAATTTTTGAAAAAGAAAGATCTAGATTTACTCCTAAATTTTAAAGCAAACGTTTTTACAAATTACTATTTTCGAAATAGAATTCCTACTCAGTGCTTTGAACTTTAAGAAAAATTTAATAAGAAAAATAAATTTTAATTCCAGATGCCCCTTCTTCTAATTCTTCTTCTTCTAATGAATACGTTATCTATAAATAAGAAAATTTCAATCTCCAGCAAGATATGCTTTCATGAAATTTCAGTGTACTTATAATTTTGTTGTAAGATTTTGCCCTAATCTATGTTAAAACGTTTTACTTTAAAACAGAAATAGAAGAAACGGAAATCATTAATAAATATAAAATTTAAATAATTTAGTCTTCCGAGAATAACTTTTATCACCTGAACTTGAAACTAAACATTACTTACTCGGATCTTTATCCAAAATGAAATATTTAACATTTTCAAGGAATAAAACTGTAAACGAGGCAGCATAATTGATTCCAAGTAAAATGAATGCTCCGGAGAGATTTCGTATGCTAAGCGCACGGGAACGGCTTGTGGATGTCTCATTTATGTCTGCTCTAATTTGTATGTTGAATATTTCATCATGGAATAACTTTCGGTAAATTCCTGCGGCTATGATTCGATTTACAACTGACATTAACCGTTGCTTGTAATAAAACTTCTTATTCACTGCTATTCCGACATTCCAAACTGCAATGGATTCTTTAAATATACGTTTCTGCCTGTTGCCTCTGAATTTAAGTTCGAAAAGAGCTCTTGGACCAATGACAGCGCTTGCTTCATCTAGATCCTTGGGTAAAACACCTCCTTCGGATTCAAATTCCCAATGATTCTTCACTATTTTCTTTCCAATCATTCGTAATCGTCTATCTTTGCTTCCCAATAAAAATTCAGTATCTGAAGATCCGCTGCTGGTGTAACATTTAAAACTACCTTTCTTTATTGCATCAGAAAGTTCCTGAATGGTATCTATTCCATGATCATAGGTAGGAGCAGTTAAAACTGACGGAAGTATCGCAATATAAAGAGAGGATATGATCATGGTGAATAACAACCAGCTTCCAAAAAGGAAAACTTGCGGTAACGTTTTTATCTTTAAAGTGATCCCTTGCTTGAAAAAGCAGCCTAATATACTGAAAATTAAATTTGTGAATGTTATATGCTTTTTCATTGTAAATCTGCTCACCACAGCCATTATGATGAAAGCAGCTATACAAGGACCCCAAATATTGACGTCAAACGGGTACAGGTACGAAGACATAGACAATGTTGGAAACTGTAAAGCATTTGTTAGAAAGGTCGTTTCTTCTGTAGTGTAAGTAATGAAGTCTACAGCAGATTTTCGTTGTTCAGTAGCGGTTATGTATGCTAAAGCAAGGTCAGATTCATTTCGGCTAACCATTCCAATCAATCCAGTCCACGATCCATTTTCTTGCATTTTCCCCCATTGGCCATCTTTGGGTGTAACCAATTCATATTTAAACTTCAACGTATTTGCAAGAATTTCTATCATTTTAGCTTCAATGCCCCCTGTGAGTGAAATTTTGTCATGGAATGTATCATTCATTTCGAGAATGTGATCATAAGATAGTACTGCAATTTTAATGAAATTTGGAAATTTCATAATCTCCCTTTTACGCTGAAAATTTTTCCAAGTTTCAAAAGTGAAACCATGCAATTGTCATCCAAATGAATTTTGGAAAAAGTAACAAAATAAACTATTTTGAAGTCGTAAATATTCCGTAAATTTACAGTATAGAATTCTTCTTTGATAGAGTCATAAAGCTCTCATAAATATGAATAATTTGTGCCAAATTTCCATTATTTTTCTAGTTTCTAGTATGAACAAAAAATGTAATAAATCTATTGCGCTTTTCTTTCATCGTTTTTTCTCGGAAATTACAAAATGTGGTCATAGGCGTTATTGATTCACAAAAATAAAGAGCAAACGCAGATGTTAATCATGATAGTGCAACTATTAAATTCCTGTTTGCTCGCAGAATAATAGAAACATTAAGTCTGCGACAATTTTAGGTGCATTCTCCAGTATAAAGATATTCGGTGGCTCAGCGCATGCGCTAATGATTTTCCTGTAAGGAATAAATAATTCACTGGTATTGATGGATTGGATTTCACTTAGATGCCGTAAAAGTGAATTAGTTGCTGGAGAGGCACATTTTATTTTCCAAAGATGATGTGAGAAAGAGAATTACGTAATATATGAAGTAATGTATTATCTCTTTATCGTCCACAAAGTTTAGCATGAAAAGATAAACTCATAGAACTATACAAAATAAGCAAAAGAAAAGTAGGACAATAAGAATAATAATTTTGAAGAACAAATGAATTCTAAAACGTATTACATATTTTCTGGTATTTCATGTCCGTAGGTACCCGGCTGTGTACAAATCGTAAATTTTGATAAAATTTAAAAATATACACATTGTTTGATTTTAAAGCTTCATTAAGCTTTTCAAAACTTAAAGCTTCATTAAGCTTCTCAAAACTTAAAGCTTCATTAATCTTCTCAAAACTATTTTTATTTTGTCTCTCCGGTCGTTGGAAGCAGCATTACGACTGTTCTTTTTCTACGCGATGAATCGGAAGTTTCTGTTTAAGAACCTGGAAGCTGATGTCTGAAGGTACGCAGACTAATCTAAATAACTGTAAAATGGGCATTTTTCTTTTGAATACGTTTGGTGATTTCAAAAGATGATTTCGAACGTTTTTATTTGTTATTAAGTGCTCAGAAACAATATTAGTTTTGCAATTTATCTTTCATATTTGGCAACATTTTCTTTTTCTTCTGTTAGTGCTTGCATTGCATAGAACCTATTTTTTAAAAAACTTGATTTTTTTCAGTTTTCCATTAAGAAAAAAATCTTTAGCTTAAAATATGGCTGTAGTAATTTTATGAAACTTTCCACAAATTATTCTATGAAATATTAGGGGTTAAATGGAAAAGAAGTTTAGGTTTATGTACATATCTAAATGTTTTCAGTCAATTTTGTAAATGAAAAAAGAGAAATTTCTCGAAGAAATATCTAGTGTTGGTACTTAAATAAACATATTTAATATATTTTGCTTTATCACTTAGATTTTAGTCCATTTCATTCCGTATAATTTAATAAGGTGGCAAATATTGATAAATATTTTTGTGAGAACATATGTAGTAATTCTGAAATTTAACACATTTTTAACCCCAAATGAAAGGAAGAAACAAAAATCGCACTTCGACAATATGGTTATCGTACACTTTTATCATTTTAAGTTGTATTCTGTTAAGTAACACCAATAATAGATTTATTTGTACTATTTTCCAAAATTTATGTGCCTAACGTTGTCGGATACTTTAAATAAGTCTGTCTTAACATAATGCAGTAAAATTACAATAAAAGAAAATCTTAAACACAAAATCAAACATTTAAGATTTTCAGAATTTTTCGACTGCGACGTTTAAATTAAAAATTAATAATCTGTATATTCAGGATCATATATGTCTGTAATTTCATGTTTTCTAAATTAGCAAAATTAAGAAGAAAGTTATATTTATTTGCCTATCATATAGTTTAAGTCCACAGTCTTGATTCTAAATTTTGTTAATTGGGAATAAATTAAAAACTTTAAAAACCAACATTGTTATTCATTAAAGAAAGTAAATTTTTAAAGTTGATAAATTCAAGATTTTAGTTTAAAAGAAATGCATTCCGAAATACAAATTATAGGAGATACAAAGCAGTTACTAATATTCTATTTTATAAATTTTTGGTACATGTCATGGAAAACCTCAAAATTACGAACTATGAAATTCTTAACTGATATTTTTATCCCTATCCTTTATTGAGCTTTGCTGTCATTTTTTGTTGCGCTTTGTTCATTTAAATGAATGTATTATAGATTAATCTCATACTTTTCGGACAAAAACGAATGTAATGTTTTAAAAAAAGTGCTTAGTCATCATGAACTGTGTCGTAATTTCAAACAGCGTCCGGCTTTAGAAAATGTTTCTGACTGATGGAACTGTTAAGGCAACTTGAATCAAGGCAATGTTTATGAGTTTGTAGGACTAGTTCGAAGGTTTAAATATAGAACCTACTTCTTCAGCTGTAGAAATGCAAATAAGAAAAGAGAAGCCTATGTCCAGGCGAAAACAAGATTACGGAAGCTAAGTTACTGGCGCCATCTATTGATAAAAATTAAAACCTCTTTCCCTCTTTTCTGTTTCAGTTGCTTGGGAAAGATGCTTTTCACCTAACTTTATTAACTAAGCGTAAAAAGAAAATCCACTCTGGACATATTAAAAAGAATTGATCGTTTAAGGAGATTATACGAATTGTGTTGTCATGCCTTTCTTTTCATGATTTAGCTGTAAAACTGCACGTAATTTATAGAAATTGAACTTTCGGGTCGTTTTATTTTTTATTAATAAAATTCTTAGTTCCACACTTAAAGACCCCTTTTCGGATATGAATCCCTGGTGTACACATACAGGATTCCTTTGCAGTGTGATTTAATTTGCATTGATGAAACTAAGAGTTGCGCTCAGGGATGTAAAGCATACGTTAGTAAAATTGAAAATACAAATATTTTGTTGCCCAACACTGTTGGTCATAAAAACCGCACTTTCTACTTTCTGCAACCAAAATTATTCAAATAACATTTTCCTCTGAATAATTAGATGTTCTAGAAGTGTTCACGTGCATAAAAATCTTTCTTTCGATTTAGCAATCCCATTTCCAATCCGTCGTTGCCATCTGCTTTTAAGGAAATTATTTCATAGTTGGTCTTCCTTTTCATCAATAAATGGCTCCAGTAATTAGATTTTTCCTCTTATTGTCATCGTCCAAATACAGGCTTCGCTTTCTTCATTTGCGTTTCTGCAGATGAAGAAGAAGGTTTTATATTTGAAACTTCGAAACTAGTCCTGCAAATCTATGAATATTATGGTGATTCAGGCTGTCTTAAAACTACAATAATCGTTACCCGACGTGTTATTTTAATTCAAGGTTCAAAATGTATTTATAGCTAACTTGTATTTTGCTGCTAGTGTGTTCGCTTAAAAGAAGGGTTTACAAAGGAGCTTTTGTAATATTACCACTCTAAGTGCGTGTTTGTTTAAAACAAAAGAAACAGTGAAAATGAGTTGAAATAAATTAGGTCGAAATATATTGTAGACGTCTAAAAAAGGTTGGAATTTAACTTTTGAAGTAAAAATCTTTAACTGCTGTAAGAAAGATTTGTGAGCTTATTTAGGACGATATATAGTAACTAGAAAATTAAACAGTAATCCAAACTTAAAATTTTTGTTTACAAGGTATATTTGTTCTTAAATTTATAGCATAATAATTAACTTCTAAATTTTCAGCATGATAACCGAATTGGAAATTCAATTAAGGAAATTTCACCTATTTTATATGTATATGGATAAGTGAAAGATTATACCTTATTGGCTCATTCTCAAATATGTAAATATTCGTCGAATAATTTTAATAACAGCTTGAGAAAATGTGATTTGTTTAATAAAAAGTGACGAAGAATTATTTAAGAGAATAATTACAAAGATGGACATCTAGTAAAATGTTTTAGAAGTTGACGAGTTTTGAAAACGCGATTGTTATTTTTCATTATGATAATAATTTAAATCAGTAACATTATGCCGAAAAATTTCTTTTTAGAAAAATTCATTAAAATTCTCTTGGGTGGGTTTGACTTCCGAAAAGCCCGACCAGTTTACCTTAAACGCAAATTTGCAAAATTCCAGAGGTAAATTTTTATATTACCTATCTTGAATGTGAACTTTGTGTGAAACTATAACTCTAGTTTTGATTTCACAGTGAGGGACGCTTGATATAATTCTATTTCAAAACAGCATAAACTTTCTTTCTGTATTTCAAAGAACATCTTAGAGAAAAAATTAACAATTTTTGAAAGATTTCTATTTTACCAATAAACACGTTTTGTATTTACCTATATACAATATTTACAGTTTTCTTAATTACCCTGAAATATTTAATTGTGGATATATTAAAAAAAATTTGTCTCTTTTAATCAAAGTGATGTATACTTTCAAAAGCTTAAATTTTGGTTATTGCGCTGTTTATCACACATATATTTTAGACTTGTTTTTTATTTTTTTTTTTTATTTTTGCTCAGGCAGAATTTTCATTGCCTATTCACAATGTGCTCTAAACTGCGAGTTTTATCTTACGAGTCTCTCGTTGCATTAAAGCGTTAACCTCTACTTAAGATTAAAATTGTATGTGGACTATCGCTTCGCTAGTGAACTATACTTGGTAGTTTATTTCGATACTTCCCAAGAAGTTTTATGACATCCGTCGTTTTCCCACAGCTATATAAGACATTTTATCGCAAAGTAGAGCGCTCAGATCCATTCCTGCTCTTAGAAACTGCAATAGACTCGATCACAGTTTACTAGAAAACTTTTATTCGTTTCATAAGGATCAATTGTATTATAGATCAGGAGCGATAGGTTATAGTATTTTCTATGATAGTATATAAATATTAGTTTGTAAGAACAGATATGATCATTTAAGTCAATAATACAGA